GGGTCCCAGAACACGGACATATACTGAGCCCCTGTTGCATGCAGACACATGTGTGTCATTTAATGCTTTCACCACAGCATGCTGGGGTAGATGCTCCGACAGGTGAAGTCTTTTGCTCAAGGTCACCTGCTAGTGAAGGTCAGAGTCAGGGTCTCAAGCCCCAGATCTGCCTGACTCCAGACTCTTCACTGTGTTACTGCTGAACCCGTGACCTTGCCAGGATTTCCTGACCAGCTCAAGAAAGACGCAGCCCGCCATCACACAGAGAAAAAGAGGCTCCGTTTTGGCATTGTCCTCTCTTCCAGGTCGAAAATGGATGCTCATCTTTTTAATGACTTTTCTCATTTGAAAATAAAAGGGTCACACAGAGAAGTGACTGACAACAGTAGCTGAAATCAAAGTGGAGAAGTTAATGGACCTCCAGATCTCTCTTTTCCAGAGGGCCAGGGGGCAGCGCTGCATAACGAAAATCATTCTAGCTGTTCCTCTGCGTGGCTGTGTCATCTTGGCCAAAGCACTTCTCTGGTTTCCTCACAGATAAACTGGGAAGACTTTTCGTTTCTGAAGTTAGCTTTAAACAAACAAATGACCGAATAAAAAGGGGGAGCTTCTCTCTTTCCCTTTTTAATTCACCTCTCCACTATGGGGCTAACTTACTGAGCCGCTAAACCCTGGACAGATATGGCTTCATTGGATCCTCACAGCAATCCTATGGGTTTACAGCTGAGGTGTCTGAGGCCCAGAGAGCTTAGGACACTTGCCCTGGGTCACACAGCCGGAAGCACCAGAGCTGGGAGGTAGACGCAGGTAATCTGACTTCCAGGGCTTTGCTCTTAGCCCCGTGCTATGCTGTCCTCCACCCAGCCCTTCTCTGCACCCACAGCCTCGGGTGTTTGTTTCATTGGATTCTAGGATTCTAGCCACTGCCTGAGCAGGTGATTCCTGAATTCCAGCCTGCTTCTCGCTCTGCAGCCTCTTCTCAAGGCCTCAGGGACATCTCTTGGCAGTTTCCGGAGACCAGAAGGCGTCAGCCTAGTGGACCAGCCCCTGCCGTCTTCTGTCTCCTGAGCCAAATTCTTATTTTCCACACCATCCCCACCACACCCACTCCCCTCACTGACTGTGTTCTTCCTTTCACCCCTCTCAGGCCAGCTGTTTAAATTGAGTTAGTCGTCTGTCATTTCTCTCACATAAGCAGTTACTGAGGAACCTGATAGTCAATTCACTGTGTCCTCATCCAACAGACATTTATTGAGCCCGTACTGTGTGTGAGTCACCATTGCAAGATACAGTGAGCCTCCAAGGATGAGCAAGCCCAGGCTCAAACCAAGGAAGCACTAAGATGTACATAATAAGTTGCAATGCAGCCAACACGAATCGAATGCTCTCAGTCGGCCCAGTACCGGGAGAACCTAAAGGCCCAGCTGCTAATTGCCCAGCTAAACAGAGAACACAACACTTGGAGTTTGATTATATTCTGTTTATTCAGCAAACACCTCAGTAGTGCTTACTATGTGCCAAGTACAGTGGTTAAGTGCTCGGCTGCTAACCGAAAGGTTGATGGTTCAAACCCACCAGCTGCTCAATGGGAGAAAGATGTGGCAGTCTGCTTCTGTAAAGATTACAGCCTTGGGAACCCGAGGGAGCAATTCTCCTCTGTCCTATGGGGTCGCTTGGAGCTGGAATCGACTTGACAGCCACCGAATACAAATTGACGATTAAATCTTCATCAGTCTGTGAGGTCGGTACAGGCAGACCTCAGAGAGGCTGTGGGTTCACCTCCAGAGCACCACAGAAAAGCAAAAAGCACAATAAAGCAATCAGACAAATTTTGTGGCTTCCCGGCGCATTTCCATTTGGTTTTCAACATACATTCCGGTATGTTTACACTATATTGTCTATTAAGTATGCAATAGCATTATGGAAAGCTTTGAAATCTTGTGAGAATTACCAGAATGAGACACAGACACAAAGTGAGCACGTGCTATTGGAAAAACGGTGCTGCTAGTCTTGTTAGATGCAGGGTTGCCACAAACCTTCACATTGTTAAAAAAAAAAGACTGTGGAGTGCAATAAAGTGAAGCACAATAAAATGAGATATGCTTGTACTATTACTATCCCCATTTTACAGATGTGGCAACTGAGAGGTGAAGTAACTTACTTAAGTCACACAGCTAGTAAGTGGTAGAGCTGGAACCTGGCTCAAGTCTGGGCCCTTGAGTGCTATGATATGTGGTCTCTCGGTGTATACTTGGGGTGCTAACTCCTCTCCCTGTAGGAATGCTCTGACATCAAATGCCACACTAGCTGCAGGGCGTCCCATTAGCCACACAGGGGAAGGCAGAGATGAAATAAGGAGAGAGGACCTTCAGAGGCTGCAGGACAGACACTGAGCTTTGTGGCAGAGAGTGAGCAGGATTTGGACTTGGAAGGAGCTGCCTCGAAGAATCTTCAGGGATCGGGGGAATGGGAACGGAGCACCTGGGTTTTGAACAAGGGGTGGTTGGAGAGAGAGTTGGGAGGTGGGCTTTTGACTGGGGCGGGGCAAACAAGGGAATGTTGATGGGTTTTGTGGGAGAGCCTGGCAGGGGGAAGGTACTGTTTCCTGAAGGCACTGGGGTGGAGGGGGGGACCTGGTGGTAGAGCAGAGAGAGGGACGTCTTCTCAGTCAAGGAAACAGGAAATGTATTAGGCGTTTCAACAGACAAAGTCTAGCATGTGGAATTGGTCCAGCAGGTGTCAGAGCACTGGAAAAGCAGGAAGGAAACCATGAGATGGCGTGGAAGCGGGATTGTCAGAAACATGGAGAAGGGCCCATAGAGCCAAGATCCAGGGCTCTGAGGGGGTGCTGCCTGCCAGTGCTGGTACCTCAGAACCTGGAGTGGGAGGCCACCACAAGCCACAGATCCCTGGGACCCATTTCCCTCTGGCAGAGAGCTCAGCCCCGTGTTCAAGGCAAAACACAACCAAACCAAATCCGTTTGAGGGTCTGCATTTTGAGGCCACTCCTGGGACCAAGTACTGCATAAGCCAGGGTCCAGGCAAGCAACAGAAGCTACACTAAGTATCTCAGAAGTGAGAATTGACTACAGGGTGTTAATTCAGCGGGTGTTGGAGGCCTGGAGACTCCGAAGGGGACGGGACGTGAGATGCACAGTGACTGCAGGAATAGACCTCACCTCAGGACTGAGGGCACAGAGGGAAGGGGAGCTGTCAAAACTAGAAGCTCAGAGGAGGGCCGTGCAGGGCTGAGCCCCAGAGCTCTGAGAGGGGCACTGCCTACGTTATCTTCTCGGCTTCCCTTTGTTGCTGTGGGGCCCATAAGTCAGTACCTTGAAACAAAAGGCTTATGTCACAGTTCTCAGTCTGAGATCTGGACTTTTCAGAAGCCTGTTGGGAGCAGTTGCATCTGGAGTTGCTCCCAGTCTCCCATCACAGACAGTCCTGGAAACTCTCCATAACCAAATCCAAACCCACTGCCATCGAGTCCATCCTGACTCAGAGCAACCTCTGTGGGGTTTCCAAGCCTGTAAATCTTTACGGAAGCAGACTGCCTCATCCTTCTTCCACAGAGCAGCTGGTGGGTTTGAACCATGGACCTTTTTCTTGGCAGCCAAATGCTTTAACCACTGAGGCAGCCGAGCTCCGTAGGAAGGTCTCCATGGCCTCTCCACCTGGGTGCCGACGGTTCGGCCTTCTTTGGATGCAGTCTTTTCCGGGTTGAGCGTCTTCCACTGACACACTCCATCAACCGGCCCCCGATGCGCACCTGTTTCCTCTCCCAGCCTCTTGGTCCTCAGCACGATAGCCTGCCTCCACCTGGCATCCTGGTACAAGCTCCAGTTTCATAGTGGCATCAACACTTCCTTCCCTTGCCTTCTCAGCAGTCTGCCACTCTGTTCACTTTTCAGTTTGGACTTTTCCCACCTGTAATGCTCTGTGGATGCCAATCACTTGACTGCTCGTGGCCTATATCCTGGCATGTTAACTCCTCCAGGTCTGAGTGAGCTGGTTGGGTTTTGCTTTTCCATGGACAGGCACCTTCCCACCATCTCATTTGTCCCTTCCCTACCACCTGCCTAAGGTGAGTATCATTAACCTCATGTGATGGGTGGTTATGTTCTGGGTCCCTTCTTTTGGGTAAAGGATTAGCCTTGCAGAAATAGGACTCTGGCTGTCGTGGTTGGCCGCACAGTCGCGTGCCCTGCCAGCGACCTCACAGCACGTTCCGTGACAGCCAAGTCCGCTTGCTGTGGACATTCACCGTGGTGACTGGGTCCTAGACTGGCGTTCTCCAGCAGGAGGGTCTCAAGGCTGATGAGCACTGAAGTCCTGTCCTCTTCTCCTTTGACCCCACAGGAGACCCGACGGTGGGCAAGACTGCCCTGGCTCAGATCTTCCGCAGTGACGGAGCTCATTTCCAGAAGAGCTACACCCTGGTGAGGTGTGGGGCTGCGGGCCCAGCCACAGCTCACAGAAATGGGATCAGGGCTCCTTGAAGCCCTAAGAGGCCCAACGTGAGGCTGGGAGGCTGCAGGAATGGCCCCGTGTGAAGGTCGCTCTCACAAGCTGTGCAGGGGCTGTCTGCAGGGTACACTGACTGGTACCTGACACTTGGTCACCGTGTGGGGCTGCTCCCCTGGCAGGGGGCACGAGATGAAGGGGTGCTCTGTGACTTCTGGAGTCTGAGCCACTTTTCATTAGAAGAGGGCAGAATGCAAATACTTAGGCTGGGGGTAACCGCGACAGCTCAGTGTTCCTCATGCCCTCCTATCCGCACCCCCTTGGGGCCCTCTGATGGCCACACTCTTGATTTTCCTTGGCAGACAACCGGGGTGGATTTGGTGGTGAAGACAGTGCCAGTTCCCGACACGGGCGACAGTGTGGTAAGTGGTGCCTATCACCTGTGGGAACACGGTACGACTTCAGCTGGGCCCCAGGGGCCCCTTGTTCCCCATCATCCTCCCTATGAGAGGCAGCACGAGGACTCGCCCAGATGAGTCTCAGCCTTTGGGAGCCAAATCACGGGACACAGGAGCGATGTAGGGAGGGGCATAAGGGAGACGAGCCAGCATGGGGGCCTTGCCCTCACGGAACTGGTTGTCTGGCATCAAGGGTCTTCACTGGGCCCCTCAGTGGAGTGTGGGAACTCTTGAAATTGATTTGCAAGGTGTGTGTGGTTTGTGCTTTCCTGGTTTACAGCTTTCACTAGATTCTTAAAGAGGCCCGATCAAGACAAGTACCCTGATGGCACAAGAAGGGTTAAGACGAGGGCAAGGATGACCGGTTGCCAAGCAGGTCACGATGCTGATGCTCAGGCAGTGTGCGCTGGGGCTCTGAGGGTCAGGGGCCAGCGAGGGCCATCCTGGGCCGGGGGCAGCCCAGGGGTGAGATTAGGGAAGATTAGTGACCTCCACGGGGGTGGCAAGGCCTGGACGGGGCAGGGCGGATCATCCACGCCCTCTGTCAGGCCACCCCTCCACCGACCTGGAGCGATGGCAGACTGCCCTACTTTAACTGCCTTCCTGGGCCTGCTCGCTGACCTCCTTAAGAAGAATGGTTTTAAGATTTGAAAATCAATTTAGTTAACAAAGTGCCAAATGACCTTCTGGAAACCAGAGCACTTGTCAGCCTGTTTAGCATTCTGTTCGGCCAGGTGGGAAGGCAGCCTGTGCCTGGTATTTTTGCACTCGGGGTTAGGAGAGGTGAGACGCCTCAGACGGCGCTGGGGTATGTGGGAGACTGTTGCTGCCTCTCAGAGACCTTGAGCTCATCCCTTCCCCTTCGTGTTTCTCATGCCTGGGGAAAGGGAGAGGATGTTGTGAAAATGCACACGTGTGCGTGCACAGGCATGTGCGCACGTGTCTGTACACATTGTGTGTGTGCACATGTGAGTGTGTGTGCGTGCCTATGCATGTGCATGCACGTGTGTGTGTGTACACGTGTACATGGCCATGGGCGTGTGTGTCTACAGTGAGCTGAGAGTGATATGATTTCTTTTTGTCTTTTTTTAAGTCTCAGTTAATATTTATGGTATGGGAAGCATCACTTTTTGGTGTACTCACAAGTACATATATCACAAAACATGGGCCATGTCAACATGTTTACTTGTGTAATTCAGCAACTTTAATCATGTCCATCCTGTCATGTGACCATCGCCACCAACCGTTCCGAGTTTTTCTGTCACCTGCAACCTGCCTTTCTGGTTCTAGGAGCTCTTCATTTTTGACTCTGCCGGCAAGGAGCTGTTTTCTGAAATGCTGGATAAATTGGCAAGTAGTGTGCAGTCCTCTTCCTGACTACCCCCCCACCTCCCGCCGTCAAAGTGGCCCGTTACACTCACAGAAACGCCCCTGTTCTGCAGCCGTCTGGAGAGCTGCCGCGGCAGGATTCTTTAAGGGGCGCTCCTCCCAGCCTTGGGCCTGGTGGCCACTTGGCCCCCCCGGCTCTGGAATGGCCAGGTTCCAAATGTGCCAGAAGCTGTGTGGCTCAGGCCATGTGCCCCCTCCCAGTCTGGAGCTGCCCTTCTTCTCAACAGCCCCAGTGGTGCTCCTCCAGCCACCTTCTCAGCCTCCTGGCCCAGTACCAAGTGTCTCTTCCCTCTCCGTTGTTGTTGTTGTTATGTGCCGAGTCGGACCCAACTCATAGCGGCCCCTCCTTGGGTTTCCGAGGCAGTACCACTACGGAAGTAGATTGCCCCATCTTCCTTCCGAGAAGTGGCTGGTGGGTTTGAACCTCCAGCCTTCTGGTTAGCAGTCAAGTGCCTTAGGCATTACACTACCAGAGCTCCTCCTCCCTCTCCAGGTGTGCCCTAAACCAAAGCGCCAAGCCAGTGCTGTCAACACCAGCTCATGGCGCCCCCGTGTGGGTCAGAGTGGAACTGTGCACCATAGGGTTTGCAATGGCTGAGTTTTTAAATCACCAGGCCTTTCTTCCAAGACTCCTCTGTGTGGACTTGAACCTCCAACCTTATGGTTAGCAGCTGAGCAACTAACCGTTTGTGCCACCCAGGGACTCCTTGGAGTACTCGAGAGGCCCCATAATAAGGCTCACTTCTCTGACCACCCCTTCGGTTGAGGGTACCTGGGCTTCCATAGGGGCATCCCACCAGAACTTACTCTGGGAAATGCTCATGTGCTACCCAGGGTGCATCATGTCCTTGCCCCTCCCACCGCACTGCCATTCAGGACCCAATGTGCTGTCCCTTGCAAGGACACGGTTTGGCTAACCTGGCCAGTAAGCTCGAGTTCTCCAGGGCCCTCCCTCCCGCTCCAAGAACAGTTCATTGAAACTCTTTTCTGCACTTTATCGTTGTCTCATTGAGAGAACTAGCTCTCATGGTGGTCATCCCACATAGGGCTGGCCTTCATGTGTGGGTTCATGGTGCTTACAAAGTGCCTCTTGTGTGCATACCTGGCAGAAGGGGGCAGATGTGTTGGGCAGTGAGGGCCATCACTGCCCGTCAGCTCACACCTGCCTCCACCAGCCCTGACTCTGGACATTCCAGCTCTGTCCTGGTCCCAGACATATCCTGGGCCCCCTCACCAAGGCAGGAGAGGGGCGGCTTCCTGGCTTTAAATCTCACTGACATGTCTCCTGTGTGCAGCAGGTGAGTTCAGTGTGGCTCTAGAGAGAGCTGGGAAATTAGACTATGGTGGGAAGAAGGTGTGAGGTGTGGGGTTGAACCCCAGCTCCTCTGCTCTGAGCTCCTCTGAGAGCCAGTGTAACCTCAGAGGGTAGGGAAGAACCCCTCTGAAGCCAATCCTGGGGTGGACTTCAAGGGATAGCTGGAAGAAAGGGGATCCTGGGAAGTTACTAAAAAGCAATAAAGCCAAACCTATTGTCATCAAGTCGATTCTGACTCACGGTGATCCTAGCTGACATCCTTGTGGCTGTGATCTGTACAGAAGCAGTTTGCTGGGCCTTTCTTCTGCAGAGTAACTGGGTGGGTTTGAACCACCGACCTTTCAGTTAGCAGCCAATTACAAGGCTGCCTGGGAGGTTACTGGTGCCCCAGAAATAAGCCAGGCGTTAAGGTGCAGGACGGGGCTGCACCAGTCCACCTCCCAGGGGCAGGCAGAACGAGCCAGGACTCGGAACAGCCCCGGAGAGCATAGCCCTGGGGTCGTCGGGAGACTGAGCCCCGTCCAGCCTGGTCTGGTCTGGTTTGGGGCAGGACCTCAGAGACCCTGCAGGAGAGGCGTGTGGTGCGGTTTGCATTGGGAAAGTCCAGCCCTTATTACAAAGGATGTAAAGAGGCTCCCAGCAATGGAGGGGCAAAAGGAGGAACGGAGAACCTCAGGCCTGCAAACCAGAGAAGCGCATGCACATGGCCCCACAGTAGGCTCTCAGCAAAAACGAGTGCAGGATGGATGCATGAAACCAGGGGCCGTGGAAGAAGAGCCCAGGTCCTACCCTTTTCTGGGTTCGGTTTGACTGACAGCACGCAGGTTAGTTCCCTGTCTGTGCTCAGTTGCTTCAGCCGTGAAGTTGGGCTCTTCAGCAGCAAAGTGGCGGGGTCTCACAGCAGACGTGACTGCACCACTCCCCCACCACTGAGCAGGGCCCCCTTCACACCTCTGGGTGAATTGTTCACACCTGTGAGTGGGTGACTCATGTCCCCTTTACGGTGTCAGTGAGTAAGGACAAGTGCTCTGTCAAAAGAAAAGGAGATTTATTGAGGGTTCAAAACAGTTTGAACCAGAAGCATGTCTGATCTCACAAAGTGAAGTTGAACTCTCCAAAATGGTGGCATAACAGGCATATTTGTGAGGTGAAATCAAGAACTAAAGGTATAGCATTCTGATTGGAAATTGCAAGATCAGGGAAGCTGGAGGCGGGACAACTTGAAGTGGGGGGCACTTTACAGTCATTGGTTGGCAACACAAATACGGGCTACTTGGATTGATTACTATAGATACATGACTAAGGGGTGTTTGACAGGGTGGTTGTTTGCTCTGGTGGTGTAGTGCCTAAGGCATTTGACTGCTAACCAGAAGGTTGGCAGTATGAACCTACCAGATACTCCATGGAAGGAAGACTGGGCACTCTACTTCCATAGAGATTTACTGCCTCAGAAACCCAAAGGGGGTCGCTATGAGTCAGAATTGACTTGATGGCAGTGAGTTTGGTTTTGGTTAGTTAGTGCCACTCTAACAGAAAAGACCATAGGTGGGCGGCTTTGACAGACAAGGATTTATTCTCTTACAGTTTAAGAGGCTAGAAGTCCACAGTGCCAGCTCTGGGGGCTGGGTGAAGGCCCCTAAACCTTGGGCTTCAGCTCTGCCTCTTGCTCCCAGCCTACCGAAGCTGGAGGCTTCTCTTAACTCAAGACAGCTGCTGGCTGCTGAGGCTGACAAACCCAAGATTGACAAGTAAAATGGCACAGTCCCAAAATTATCAAGCAGCATGGCAGGCCACTAGTTCAAGTCCTTTAACAGTCCCAAGATCAGCAGACAACACAACAGGCTGTTGAGATGAAGACTCGGCCAAATGTGGGATTCAGATATACCAAAAGCTAGAGCTTTTCTCAAAGCTGCTGCTTATATACTAGAAGCAGACCACATCCCTAAGGCAGCTACTCAGCTGCTCACAGTAGATTCCACCGTGGAGCTGACCACCAGTTTCATCATGGGAAATAAGTTCATCCAGCTGCCCAGCCACTCAAAACTAGGCCCAGCCAAGTTGACATATAACCTTAACCACCACAGTGGTCATAAGGTAATTATCTAAAAATATTTCCTGAGGGCTGCTGAGGGAATTTCTGGTGGGAGTATTTATCAAGACCCAACCCTAGGAATACTCTTTGCATATCTTTAGTTTAATCTTTAGTTGGAACTCTGGTGGCGTAGTGCCTAAGGCACTTGACTGCTAACCATAAGGCTGGTGGTTCAAACCCACCAGCCATTCCTTGGAAGGAAGGTTGACCAATCTACTTCCGTAGTGATAATGCCTCAGAAACCCAAGGAGGGGTCACTATGAGTCAGGTCTGACTCAAGGGCACATAACAACAACAACAGTTTAACCACAAAGAAAAAATTCATTTCCTTTGTTATGGACCTAAGTCAGGGCCCCCGGTTGGTGGTTGGTGGTTGGTCATTCTCATGGGAATCAAGTGCCTCGGTTCTGGAACTCTCACACAGCAGTTTCTCATTTTCCTTGGCCCATGTCCCCCTTCCTCTGGAAGGCAAAATTGTCTTTCTACCTAGAAGTCACTGTCACTGACACACGCTCATCCTGTCCCTCTGCACAGTGGGAGAGTCCGAACGCCTTGTGTCTCGTCTATGACGTGACCAGTGAGCAGTCCTTCAACAACTGCAGCAAGTGGCTGGAGAAGGTGCGGTCCCTGGCCCCAGGCAGCTCCCTCCCAGGTAGGTGTTGTAGACCCCGGGGCTTTCCAGCTGCACCTCTGCCTTCCAGAGCAAGAGGTCATGCGGAGGGCACTGTGGGTGCAGACTGCGGCCCCCCAGGCTTTGAGTACGGTGGACTGGGTGGTGTCCTAGCTTAGTGTCTTAGCAACCACGCAGACCTCAGTGAGTCGCTCCCTCTCGTCTTGGAGTCTGTAAAATGGGGTCATGCCACCCACCTAGCAGGGTCAGGGGAGTCTGAAGACCGTGAGGGGGTGCTGCCATCAAATGAGTTGTTCCTTCAGGAAAACGGCCAGGGGAAGAATTCCCCATTTTCTCCTGTATGTGGGGGACAAGTAAACATTCAAGCCCTGTGGTGGCTTCTGAATGCTTTAAATCAGTTCATTTCTCACCCCCGTGCGAGATCAACAAATTCTTCTCATTACAGACCAGGGAGAGCAATCTCCTGAGACAGGTGGAAAAATTAGCTGCAGCCAATACAGCTGGGAGCAGAAGGAAATTACCTCTGAGTCCCTGGCTCGCAGCACAGGCCCCAGATTAGTATTAACGGCTGTTTTTAAAGTTTGCTCTATTTGCTAAGAATTACCCCAAACGCTCAAGTCAAACAGGCCCCCGCCCTCCCTGAGCTTGTGGCCTTAAGGAAGCGAGGCATACATGAAGTCTGGGGAAAGGCTGAGCAGCACTAGTTGGCGTGTGACAGGCTCAGCCCTCGTGATCTGTCTGTGGCCCTCAGGGGCCAGCATGACAGCCTGTCATGTGATGCGCCGGGCTAGGGTCCCTGCTCCTGTCTCTCTCCCCCCACGCTCCCACCCAGACGGCCACAGTTAAATGTGATATTCTCAGTTGTTTCTTTTGAGTAGGTGTTTTAGTGGGGAATAAAACCGACCTGGCGGGCAGACGAGCGGTGGAGTCGGCGCAGGCGCGGGCCTGGGCGCTGGGCCAAGGCCTGGAATGTTTTGAAACATCCGTGGTAAGTAGCTGCGCTCACTCGGGTGCCAGGTCTGGAGTGGGCCGCTGCTGGAAGCAGCCTCTCACCTGACCCCGCGTGCTCCTCCGCCATGTGCGTCATCTCATTTGGAGCCTTGTTTGTGTTCTCAGCCCAAGACAGTCTCCCAATACAGCAAGAGCCACTCACACATTACAATACAATGGATCACTCAGCCAGCCTGGGGCAGGTTGTGTCTCAGTAAGAAATGTGAGTGTATTGTGCTCAGTGACGTTACAGGCCCCAGAGTGACCGTTGGCTCACTGGGTTCTACATTAACCCTGGGAACCAGGAGTTGGCCCTATGATCCACATCTCAGGGTTGAGGTGGTCACAGGACTCATCCACAGGCACGTGGCTAGTGAAGGGCAGGGCCAGGCCTAGGACCCACGTGTTCTAATTCCCACCAGGGCTCCTTGTCCCCAGCTGGCTGCTGCCCTCCAGGGCAGTTAGCTGGCCACCTCATTAAGGGCAGAAAGCAGAGATTTAGGACTGAAAAAGGGAAAAAAAAAGAGGTTGCTGTCAAGTCAGTTCCAACCCATGTCTGTTGGAAGAGAACTGCCCTCTGTTGGGTTTGCAATGGCTGACTTTTTTGGAGGTCGATCACCCGTCTTTTCTTCCAAGGCGTCTCTGGGTGAACTCAAACCACCCACCTTTCAGTTAGCAGCCCAGCACTTAACCGTCTGTGCCCAGGGACACACGGATCGTGAGGTTTGGCCGCCCAGCACCGTGGCACCTCCTTGCTGTGTTTGGGAGTCATAAAGTCCCAGCCTCCCTGTGGCCAGGGTGCAGAAGTGGGGCCCAGGTACCACCCATCGGGATGTGTTCCTGGGAGGCTGTGCTGTGGAGGGGAGTCAGGTGAAGGCTCGCCCCTGCAGGGGCAGCAGGGCTTAGCCTCGCCAAGGGGAGTTAGGTGCTGGCTGCTGCTCTCCTTGCTCGGTGGTCAGGGTGACCTGCCAGGCTTGTCCCGCTGGGACTGCTGTGGCTGTAACTTGGCCCTGGCTCCTGAGTCTGTGGCCTCCAGACCTGGCTCTTGGTCCTCTAGAAGTCAGCTGGCTAATGACTTCAACTCTAAGTCAGCTGTCGTGGCTTCTGCTGTGGTGGCATCTACGAAGCAGACTGATGCTGCGGTTCAGGGACTTACATGGAGGTGAAGGAGTCCACGGGTGGCGTAGCAATGAAGCACTCAACTACGAGCCGAAAGCTTGGTGGTTTGAACCCACCCTAGGTGCCTCAGAAGCCAGTCCCAGTGACCTGCTTCTGAAAGGCCACAGTCTTAAAAAACAAGGGTGTCGTCATGAATCGGGATTGACTCAGTGGCAACTAACAACAACAGCCTGGGTGTGAACCTTTGAAGTGCCCCCCAAAGCAGTGTGCTTCTGTGAGAGGAGTGTGGGGGTTAAAAGCAGGCACTCTGACCTCCAGTGGTGAGTAGCAGGACTAATCTTTGTGACCTCAAAATGGGCATAAACCAAGCCAAACCCACTGCCATCAAGTTAATTCCAACTCCCAGTGACCACCACTGGCTTTCTGAGGTGGTAAATCTTTACAGAAATAGATTGCCCCATCTTTCGCAGAACAGCTGGTGGGTTTGCACCACCAACCTTCTAAGAGCTCCTTTAAAATGGGCATTAAAAAAAAAAAAAAAAACTCACTGCCATTGAGTCGATTCCAACTCATAGTGACCCCCTTTGGGTTTCCAAGGTGGTAAATCTTTACAGAAGTAGATTGCCCAGTCTTCCTTCCATGGAGTAGCTGGTGGGTTTGAACCTCCAACCTTCTGGTTAGCAGTCAAATACCTTAGGCACTATGCCATCAGAGCTCCTTTCAAAATGAGCATAGGAGACAATAAATGTTAGCTTTCTTTTAAGTAGAAATGCCCCCTAAGTAATCTTGTTTATACTGTTATTCCTTATTAAATCCTTATATTCATAGGTTGTGTGAAGATAAATGCCACGGTAGCCTCTGGCCCAATTATCACCGATGCTGTATTAATGAAGTTCAAATTAGTGAGCTTTTCCCCTATAGAGGGCTCCTTATCATTCATGCAGTGGGGCAGTAAGTGTCCCTCCAACCCACAGTAAACGATATTTCAGTGCTGCCTCTACCTCCGTGCAGCTGGAGAAATTGTCCCCTCACCCCAGTGGCCTATGTTTGCCGGCCCTCAGGATGGAACTCAAGAATTAAAACCCTGGCCCATCAGTCAGCACAAGCAACACGGCCAGCGTGTCAGCCCCATTGAGGGGTTGCTGTGCCATTGACACGGGTCATTGTAACTTATGCTCCATGAAGTACTGGGTATTGACTGTGCGAGTTAACTAGTCCCTCCTGAGCTGATGCTCACAGAAGCCCCACTGGCAGCTTGGTTAAGAAAGCTGTAATTAAAAAGGAAGTATAACTAAATGCTGCTTGAGACACAGCCAAGTCTTGGTGCCAAGCCCATCTCCTCTCTCCCTACTCAGCACAGCAGCGTCGGCTTGCTGGCCTGGAAGAGAAGGCTGCATCGGCCTCTGACTTTGGAACCCCTCACTATTTGGGCATAAATTGGAGAAAAAAAATTTGTAAACAGTTAAAATTAATAAAATATTACTTTATTATTTACTAAAACAGGGAGGCGAGGGGGAGGGAACCGACACTGAGCTCCCAGTCCTCCCCAGGTGTCTTGCATACGTTATCTGTTATGTCTTCCTAAGGGCTCTGTGAGGCAGCTCTTCCGGTGACCAGCAGGCTCCGAGGGGTTATGTCACCTTCCTGGGTTGCACAGCTAATGGGGGGTTAGAACCGGGGCTGGAAGCAGGCCTGCCTAGCTTCAAATACGGGGCCTTCTAGAAAGAGGGCTCTGGAGGGATGAGGGGGCAGCTCCGGCCTCTCACAGAGCTCCATGGAGGCTAAGGACAGAAGCCTTGGCCAGGCTAAACTCTGGCCGGTGACTGCCTCAGGATACCTCCCCTGAGCAAACCCCCTCTAACCCACCAAACCAAACCCACTGCCATGGAGTCAGTTGTGACTCACAGCGACCCACTCTAGAGGTTTCCAGGACATGCAAGAGAAAGTCCTTTAAGAAAGGATGCTGTGATAGGCACGCCATGTGACTGCATCTAGAAAATGGTCCCGTTGGCCCGTGCTATTTCAGGAGCATGCCGTGAGGGACGCTGAGGCTTGCCTGCAGTGAATTCCTTACTTTTCAGTTTGTGGTTTCCCAGGATGTCGCTTTCGACAGCTTTAGGATTAGAAATCTGTGTATCCCACTGCAGCCTTCATTCGGCCCTTTACCGTGCTTTGAACTGAAGGAGCGTGTTACTGTTGAACGTTGGCATTGCTTAGGCCGTGCTCTGAGCAAACCCAAGTGCCTGGCACAGGGGACAGTAACTTCCTTTATGTCTGGCTGAGAGTGACAGCCTCACCCTGGGCAGCCTGAACTCATGCAGACACTTGTCGCAGCTGTAAGCTGACCCTTCACTCCTCGAACACACGCTTAGCATTGCCTCATCTGTTTCTCCTCTTGGTCAGTTGGACTCCTTTGTCTTGGGGTCTCCTTTGCTAGAAAGCTCGGGTAATTTTCTCCCTGGGAACAGGTTTCCTTTCACACGTTTGCCCTCCCGGCTGGCAGAATGGGAAGGCGGCTCTTCTCAAATGAGGGGTTCTGGGTTCTAGGCTGGGCACTCCCCCTTCATCCCGGGGCCCCAGGTTGTTCCATTGTTAGTTGCCTGCAGTCATGTTGATTCGTACTCGTGATGACCTCATGTGCGCAGAGTGGAATGACTCCATAGGGTTTCCAAGACTGGGACCTTTCAGAAGCAGGTCGGCAAACGGGTTCCAACTTCCGGCCTTTCAGCTGGTAATCGAGGGCCTAACCATCAGCATCACCCAGGGACTCCGACCCCAGGTCACCCTTCTGTCACACTCCCCAGTAGGGAGTCTTCTGTGCTGATGGGGACGTCTCTGTCTCCGGCCCAGTCTGCACTTCCACAGCTGCCGTGCGTCTTTCCAAACAGCTCCTTTTACAGTCAGCTTGAGCTGCTGTCTTGAAAGTAGTGCACGCTTTCCTCTGCCGACGTATTTCTTAAAACATTTAAATACATGCACGGACATGCACGTGCACACGCACGCGAAGAGCCGAGCGCAGCTGTGGGACTGAGAGCTGCTGCCTTTTTCCCCCTGAGCCTGTCCTTCCCCCCCTGCAGGGCTCCTCCTCTCCCACCCCTCAGACAACACCCAGGGCTGGTTCCACAACTTGTCTGGCCTCTCAGATAATCGAAGGTCCTTGGGGCACCTTTCATCATGAAGTATTTATTGTTTTGGTTATTAAAATGCCTGGCCCCAGGTAACTGTCAAAATTCCAAGCTTGAATTGAAGTCAGAGTAACCAGAGCTGCCTAGCTGTGGAAAAGCAAGGCCAGTGGGGCAGGCCTTTGTGCTTCCAGGCTACCCTTTCCCCCAGCTCGTTAAAGCATTGCAGCTACTAACCAAAAGGTCAGTGGTTCGAACTCAGTAGTAGCCACTCCACAGGGAAAGATGAAGCAGTCTGCTTCCGTAAAGATGTATAGCCTTGGAAACCCAGTGGGGCTGTCTACTCTGTCTTAAAGGGTTGCTATGAGTCAGAATCAACTCAATGGCAGTGGGTCTTATAACCTGAGGAGAGGGGAAGGATGCGGGGTGGGGGTACACTGTCATTGCAGTGATCAACTTTGGCTTCTCTGGAGTTATGGGGTGTCCTCGGAGATGTCCCCCATCAGTAGATCTCTCCCACCTGCAGTTTCCCTGACGTTGGAGGCCCCTCCTCCCTCCTCGGGCCTCAGCTCACCCCTCCCACAGCCTGGTTCCTGGCAGTCCTTCCTGTGCGGCCCCTTCGCCCTGCTGGTGGCTGATCTCTGAATCCCTTTAAGTGAGCCCCAAGCTGGCACTCGTGCTTGGCCAGCTACTGGGACAGACAGACGGGCAGTGCAGGCCGCCTGTAGCAGCCCTCGCCTGGCTGCCCTCCAGCTGCTTCCCAGCCTCAGCTGCCTCTGGGCTCCTCAGACCTCAGGCTCTCTCTCGAACCCTCCCACTGAGCTCACAGTGAGGGAGAGGCAGGCAAGACGCCCTCACACTGAACCGCACAACTACCTTCTCTCTGATCTCTTTACCCACCCACGGCCCTTTATGCCCCTGAGGTTGGGAGGTGGATCTCACTCTTGTCTGGCCCTCCCTCCACAGTGTGGGGGCCCCTGTTATATTGCTTTGGCTTTTGCAGCCTCAGTGAAAACTAAGCGAGAGTGAAATGTTAACAGCCTGCTGTCCATCTCGCGAGAGTGTGCAAGTATAGGTCCTGCAGAAACAGACTGAAGTTCCGATCCCAGCTCCACCATTTACAGGGTGGGTGGCTTTCTACAAGTCACCGTGATCTCTCCCTACCTCAGTTACCTTCTTGTGTAATGGGCATGATGATGGTCACTACCTTCCAGTGGTACAAAGGTGAAATGGGGCAAATCGTGTGTCGTCCTGGTAAGCATTGGTGAGGGCTAGCTTTCTTTGCTGGGGATGGAAATAACCCACTTCTTAAACTTCTCTCTTCAGAAGGAGATGGAGAACTACGAAGCCCCTTTCCACTGTCTGGCCAAGCAGTTCCTGCACCTGTACCGGGAGAAGGTGGACGCTTTCCACTCCCTGCTGTGAAGGTGTTGGACGGTGCAGCGGGGACCTCACAAGCTGGCAGGGGCGCCGTCTCCTTGGAAGATGAGAGAAGATGGAGTTGCCTCTGCACTTCAGTGTATCCCGACAGCTTTAAATAAAACGCAGGAGCAGCAGCTCCTTCTGTTCTTGGCCGGGGTGGCTCTGTCTGGTTCCATCTTACACTTTGGTGGCTGGAGGCCAGCTGGTTCCAGGACACCCCTGGAGCCAGGCTCGGAACACTTTGTGGTGGGCGGGCCCGGGGTGGCTGCATGGGCTGGGCTTCCTGAAGGGCTGGGGCTGGCTGGGGCCTTCCACGGAGAACAGCCTCTGCTTGCAGTTGGCGCAGCTGACATGCTGGGTGTGGAACCTGCTGCGTGGCTGAGATGGGGCCAAACTCCCTCTCCTTTCCCAGTTGCTAACTGACTACTGCTTTGTGCTGGCTGTCTGGACAGACACCAGAGCTGCCCTGCAGAGACCACTGCCGCTGACAGCACAGCGCCCTCTGCTGGCCCCCCCAGAGCCCCCTTCCCAATGGGAGGGCCAGCCTTTCCCCTGCTGCCAGGAACCCTGGATGCGCAGGAGCCAGGAACGCGGCCACTCTCCTTAATGGCCTTCTCTCAGCGCTGCGCTGGACTGTTTTCCGTCTTGTCCACTCTGCTGCCAGATTAATGTCCTAAAACATGGTCCTCCTCCTTGCTGTCCCTAATTAAAGACCCGCGAGGCTTCTCGCTGCCTTTCCATCAGGGCTGCGGGCCACCGCCTGGCGGCTCAGGCCTTCTCTACTGCCGCCCTCACCCGAGGATCAGGCTCTCCCAGCCCTGGGGGCCCCAGAGGCCATCCTCCCCCTCCCTCAGTCCCCATGCCTCCCGTCCAGAGGGTGAGGACATGAAGAGAGCATCGGCTTTGGGCCAGACACCTAGGATTGTCACCATGATAATGAGAACAACAGTGATCACTTGGGATGCTGGTCTGACCTGCCATGTCTACGTGTGCTAAGCACATTACACACGTGAACTCATTTAATCCTTGAAACGTGGTCCCGCTTCTACAAAGGAGGAAACAGGCAGAGGCTCAGGGGTGACAGAGCCAGGATCATGGACAGGAGAGCTCACCTTATGGCCACCACCATCTTCTGTCTCCTTGAGAGCTTGGCCAGGGGCACAGGGGGAGCCTGTCATCTGCAGGGGGCCATGACAGGGCTGCCTTCCAAGGTCAGAAGTAAGGCAGCACGTGGACGCATCCTTGTATGCAGCAGCGTCCCTGTTGGTCTACATTCCCCCTCCCTCTTCCTGGTACTTCTCAGCATGAACTCAGTGCAGCCCCACCCTCTCACTGAGCCATACTTTCAGAAACGGTTAACCAAAGGCCCACCGTGGGCATTTTTCTACACACTGGTGACTTGGCCGTCAGCAACACCAAATTGCCAGTCTGTCACACTTCCAGAGCGAAGACCTATACTAGACAGCCAAGTGGACGTGCAGGTGATGTCTCTGGTTGCCCAGGATTGGTAACTACGGCCAACAGCTATGGACAAGGAGATGCTAAGAATCCCACTTGCTAAAGAGGTCATTAAAAGTTTGGGCTAGACACCTTCCAAACAAAACCAAAGCCACTGATTCTGACTCATAGCAACCCGAAAGGACAGAGTACCTCTGCCCTATAGGTTTCCAAGACTAATCCTTACAGAAGCAGACTGCCAAATCTTTCTCCCATGGAGCGGCTGGTGGGTCCGAACCACTGACCTTTCAGTTAGTAGCTGAGCATTTAACCACTGCACCACCAGGGTACCTTTTCCCTCCCAGGGCAAAATGGGAGATGGCAGAAGTGGTCTGTTGCCACGACTACCCCAACCCCTCTAGTCCTCCCTCTTCCCTGTCTATACTCTAGAATGAGCGGAACAGAGAGGGCAGGGGGCCATGCGGTGTTGGTAAGTGGGTGCCCCTGTCTCCCAGGCTCCTCCCCAAGGACTGAGCAAAGGCGGCCCCAAGAGAGTCCTCCCAAGCCTGAGGATGCTGCCAAGGAAGGAGGCTGGCACCACACTCCCCTGTAGGGTGCTCACTGAACTGGCAGAGCCTGGTGCCAACTGCAGGTGTGAGTGGCCAGGGCGTCCTTGGAGGAGCTTGGCCTGCTCCCCTGGAGTGATGCCTGCCCCTTCCATGGGTGCTTCCGGGGAGTTGGGTAGGAGCCTGCTCCACCATCAGGCACAGCGGCATAGTGTGCCCAGAAAGGTGCCATGCAGGTGCCCCACCTTGGTTCCAAATGACCCTCAGGACCAGGTTCCCATGACCCACGTGGAAGGAGTCGGTGGGCTGTGCAGGCAGTGGGCAAAGTGAGCTGCCTCCTTCCACCTTGAAAAGGGTGGGGCCTGTCCTGCTGGCAGAAGTGAAGGGAGATACAGCTCCCGAGCATCACTGGGGGAGGCTCAGCCCCCGACAACCAGCGAAGATCCCAACACAGTGGATGGAGCCAGACCAGGCCCAGGCCTGGTGGGAAGCAGAGCAGCCAATCTCAGCCTCCATTCCAAGGCACCCAGAGGGAGACAGGGAAGGGCTTGCCCCTCTGCCTCCTTTGGGGTGGTGAGGAAGGCTCCCTTCCTCCTGGTCTGCAGCGAGGCTGGCCTCTCTGTGTGTATTCCTCTGGTTCAATGAAGCTGACCATTCTGTAGCATCCTTTGCTCCAGATGCCATTACTTGGGTTCAACCCCATGAGGGCAGGGAAGCCCAGATGACAGGGAGTCGGGACCACACAGCAGGCCAGCTGCATTTTACAGTGGATGTTCAGAAACCCAGGAGTCCCTGGGTGGTGCAAGCAGTTAACACACCCAGCTCCTAACTGGAAGGTTGGTGGTTCAAGTCTGCCCAGAGACACCTCAGAAGAAAGGCCTGGTGATCTGTGTCCAGAAAGTCAGCCCTTGAGAGCGCCATGGAGTGCAGCTCTACTCTGACGCACATGGGGTCACCGTGAGGAGGAGCCCACTCGGCGGTTACTGGTGACTGGCTGGTTCAGAAACATAAACAGCTGCCCCAGTTAAAAATAAAATGCCTCGGTACCACCCAGACATTTTCCCTGCTGAGTCTCTTGTTGGAGTTTGGCCACAGGAAGGGTCCCCCGTTCAGATGTGGGTGGTGTGGGAGATGGTCCCCTCTGGGGGTATCTCTGGAACCAGGGGTAGCGCTGGTTCACCGTGACCTTGTCTGTGCCATGAGAAGCCTGGGAGAATGTGTTTGGCAAATCATCTTCTACAAGGAGCCTCAGGGCTCAGAGGCCACCTGCCTCAGCGGGTGTGAATCAAGTGCTTTCAATCAGAGGCTAATGTTTTGCTGGCCCCGACGGGGGTGGCTGGAAGCACAGATTCCATGGAGCGCAGGGTGGGAAAGGAGGGTTGTACTATCCCCATATTTGTTGGGGGATGTTTACCCACCCTGGAGATGCTGAAAGAACCTTTGGTTTCACACCTGGGCTTCCCATTCCCGTGGGTATCTCTGCTGCATCCTGGGGTCTGGGGGTGACAAAAGTGGTGCCCCCAGGAGCTCCCAGTGTGGTAGACAGGGACAGCTTCCAGGAGGAGAGCCTGCCAAACGAAGGCAACAGCGTGTGCAAGGGCACTGAAGCACGGAGCTGGAGGTTCCTCTTGGGGAGCTGCATTCGTAGTGTAGGGTTGGGGGAGAGGTTGGAGAGGATGAAGCCAGGACATGGAGCTTTTGTACACAGGGCTGAGGGCCTGGACTTTGTCTAAGTGAAGCCATGAATAGCTTTTACCAGAAGTGGCTCACCTGGATTTCTGCTTTAGAAAGATTGACCTGGGGAAATTGAAGGACCAAGGGGAGAGGAAGCTACTAGAGATGAGGAGAGCAGTTTAGAGACTATTGCAATACTCCAGCCAAGAGCTGGTGGGGTGAGGTGGAGACCAGGCCATAGCTTTAGCTTTATCCATCGCTAGCATTAGCAAAAAATGTAGGAAGCATATTTTCAGCCCATTTTAGAGTTGCCTTCCTGCCCCCCGCCCTTTTCTTCAGAACACCATTTTTTTTTTCTTTCTGTAATGCATTATCCTTTATTTACTTTAGAGACAGACAAAACAGAGTGAGAGTGACTTCTTCAGGCTGCCTATTGCTAGTGATGGAGCCAGGATTAAGAACGCAGGCTTGCCAGCTCTCTATGGATTTTATGATATTTATGTATATGGTGCCGTTCGTTCTTCCGGTCTGCTGGTTAACAGAGCTGATAAATAGGAGCAGGGCGGCGGTAGCGATCTTGCTTCCATCCTAAAAAGCCAAGCAGGCTGAGAAGCCTCATTAGGAGAAAATATTGAATGGGCAGTTTCAGAGATTCACTGTGATGTGAGGGAAAAAGTGCCTTTTCACCAAAGCCATTATGTAAAGGGCCCTAGGGGAATGACCCCAGGACGCAACAACAACAACAACGCATATAAGGTAGCATCCTGAGTGACTGGAGACCCCAAAGGCAAGGACAGCTTTGATTTCATGAGGTCAGGGGCTAATTCTTATACTCCTCGTAGATCTTCTAGAAGCACCTAGGGTTTCATGGAAAGAGCACTGGATTCATGCTGCTGTGTGTCCATAGGTAGGATACTTACCCTCTCTGATCCTCAACTTCCCCATTTAGCAAATGAAATAACACTACCAACCTTACCATTTTTTTTTCTTTTTGTTTGAAGGGGAGAATAAATAAGATATGTGAAACCTCCTTATACTCATGGTATATAGTAAATGCTTAATGCATAGATCGTGATTTCCAATTTTTCTGATGTAACTCTATGACTTTTTATGTGCATAAAAGTAATATATGCTTACTGCAAATCAGAAACTACTGAAAGGTATAGGAAAGAAAAAGGAAATTACTCGAGTCCTTCCACCCAAAGATAACCACCTTTAACATCCTGTTGTGTTCATGTGTCTACTTCTGGTCTCTTTCTTCTGCATATAAAAGGAGCTCTGTTGGTGTGGTGCCTAAGGCATTTGACTGCTAACCAGAAGGCTGGCGTTTCAAACCCACCAGCCACTCCTCAGAAGGAAGAC